GCATAGACACCAATAAATAATCACATAAATTCAGGCAGAGATCTTTTTAAAGTTGCAAGCAGAAGTGGGATTTTGGCAAGGTTTAGTGTCAAAACAGCTTTGAAAGAATTTTTCTAGAGCTACAGACATTTTTTTTTCTTTTAGAGACAAGGTGTCACTCTGTCATCTTGGCTGATATGCAGTGGCACAATCATAGCCCACTGCAACTTCAATCTCTTGGGCTCAAGCAATCCTCCCATCTCAGTCTTCTGAATAGCTAGGCCTACAGGCACACACTACCACGCCCAGTTAATTTTTTAATTTTTGGTAGAGACTGGTCTCACTGTATTTCCCAGGCTGGTCTCAAACTCCTGACCTCAAGCAGCCCTCCTGTGTCTGCCTCCCAAAGCATCAGGATTACAGACATGAACTACTGCATTGGGCCAAGCTATAGACCATTAGATGGAGCTGGCTAGTTTCACTGACATGGCTTTATGCTGGTAGAATAGAAAGCCAAGTCTCTGTTGAATGAAGGCCCAATTCATCCTAATTCCTACTTACTCTTATAAACAGGCCACTAAAACCTCTCTGATTGGCCAGGCGCAGTGGCTCACGCCTGTAATCCCAGTAGTCTGGGAGGCCAAGGTGGGCGGATCACAAGGTCAAGAGATCAAGACCATCCTGGCCAACATGGTGAAACCTCATCTTTACTAAAAATAAAAAAATTAGCTGGGCGTGGTGGCGCATGCCTGTAGTCCCAGCTACTCAGGAGGCTGAGGCAGGAGAATTGCTTGAACCCGGGAAGCGGAGGTTGCAGTGAGCCAAGATTGCACCACTGCACTCCAGCTTGGCGCCTGGCGACAAAGCGGGACTCGGTCTCCAAAAAAAAAACAAAAAAACCCTCTGATTTTGACCACAACACATATTTGGATTTGAGTGCCAGGGAAAATTCTTTCATTCTTTCAGTATAATCAGTCAACAAATACGTATTGAGTATGCACCATCGCTGGGGCTGTTCTAGTACATAAATGACTAGAAAGTGTTTCATGTACCTATGACATTCAAGGTTTTCTAGACCTTGTGTGTATTTCATTCTTTTCATCCTTATAGCTATCCTTTGTTGGTTTATAAGAAAACTGAGACTCTGAGAGGTAAGGTGACTCCCCTAAGTATGTAACTAAATAGACTGAGTCACAGATATGACTCTACAGCCTGAGCTCAAGGCAGGGTCTCCTCTTTTATTTAAGGATGATGAGGATGGGTCACTCCTCTTTTATTTATACTCACAGCCAAAGCTTTCAACATAGGGAGCATGAAGGATGCATTTGATGACAAGACAGGATAAGTAGGTTGTGTCAAAATGGCATTTGTTGTGGGACTAAGGAAACTCAACTTTATTCTTAAGGCAATTAGGATTCAGTGAATGTTACTGAGGAATAATGATTTCTTATGGTCTGTACTTTCTTTGATCAACATGTATTCATTTAATTATTTCACATTCTGGGTTTAATGCTGAGGATAAAACCATTTCAATATCTCTGCCATCACTGTGTTTAAAGCCTAATGTACAAAGGGCTGAGAGAGAGGTTGGTATTTTCCTGGAATTGCATTTGAGACACAGGGAAGTACAGGTAAGAAACAAATTTGAAAAAATAAATAGGAAAATGGCTTTTAAAAAAGGCTGGGTGCAGGGATTATAACCCTAGCCCTAGCCCTCTAGAAGGCCAAGGTGGGAGGATTCATTAAGGGCAGAAGTCCAAGACTAGCCTCGGCAACATATTGAGACCCTGTCTCTACAAAAAAAAAAAAAAAATTAAAATTAACCTGGCCTGGTGACACATCCCTGTAATCCTGGTTATTCAAGCAGGCTAAGGCAAGAAGATTGCTTGAGCCCAGGAGTTCAAAGTTATAGTGAGCTATGATTGTACCATGGCACTCCAGCCTGAGCAGCAGAGTGAGACCATGTCTCTAAAAAAGACAGAGCTTTGTAAGTCATCTGAAGTATAGCAGTAGAGTGTTAAGCAGGCCAGTGACATAATGACGTGACATGGTTACTGAGAAATGGAAGAGTCCTAGAAAATGCCTAGACTTCTTGTAAGGGTTATTGCTGAGTTTAAAATGAAGAAACAGGCCAGTATAAGAACAATTAAATTCCAATTTATTCAGCTCCCAGCAAGGTTCTATGGTCCAGGAAAGGGGGAGCCAGAGAAGTTGCACTGACTTCCTGAGGCGTAGGGTTTTTATAGCTATAGTGAGCGAGGAGAAGCAGGGTGCTCTGATTGGTTATGGGGGAACAGGACGTAGACGGGGCAAGCTGCTATTGGTAGGTAGATTTTGGGGCGGGGTTTCCCTAATGCAAGATCTGGCTAGGGTTACATTAACCGGATCCTTCCAGGAGAGCGTGTGCTCCTGAGGTAGGTTCCAGGCACAGAGATGGATGGGTGTGTCCAAGCTCCTGACGAGGCAACTGGCCTTACACTTCTGGCTTGGAGAACTGACTGGCTGGTGATGCTGGACCTCACTGAGAAAGAGAACACAAGAGTGATGAAGAAGTCAATTTAGATTGTTGAGTTTGGCCCACTAATGGGACATCTGAATGGAGGTGCTCAGCAGGTGGAGATATACAGCATGGAGCCCCAGAGAGAGAACTGAGCTAGAGATGAAGATTTGAGAGCTGTCAGCACTTAGGTGGTAACTGAAGCTGTGAGAGTTGACAGGATTACCCCCTGGAGAATCTCCAGCGGGAGAGAGAGACTATAGGAGGGCCTAGAATGGAGCCCTGAGGAGTGCCTCCATTGAAGGGGCAGGCAAAGGAAGAGGAGTCCAATGAGATAACAGAGAATACAGAATCTCACCAGAGTCCTGGTTTTTTTTGCAGTTTCCCTGTGTCTTCTTAGGCAATAGCTTGTATTCTTTCCGTGGCCCTGTGGCTACTCTGTCCCACAGTGTACACTCTCTCTCCTCCACTGTTAGAGAGTTCATCTTGCAAATCTAATGGAGTAATGAGCCATCGATTCTGTTAACAAATGTCCAGTTTACTACAAGCCCTGTAATGGGAGTTCATTTTGGAGGTCAATACTCATTTTGGAGTTCATTTTGGAGGCTGTCAGTGGAACAGTTTTTCCCTGGAGGCCCATCAGCTTTTTCTGTTGTACAGTGGCAGAAGGTGTCCTGCCCAGCACCAGAAATGCCTGGAGAGTAATTAATACTGTAGAGCATTAATAAGCTGGTGATCCTTCCTAGGGCCATGAGAAGGGTACAGCCTGAAATAGGTCAGATGACAGGGAATAGAAGGTAAACTGTGTAACCTCTGATATATGTTGAATAACCCTAGAAAATCACCATCACCACCACCAAAATGTTATTCCACCAGCTATCGTACTGCCTAAAAGTACATCTTTAAACTTTCATTTATTTTGAACAAGAAGTTTCACTAGTGAATTTTTGAATGCTGAATGAATGCGTTTGCTTAGTCTGCAGACATGAACTAAGAACCTGCTATGTACCTTGCCTTTATTAGGTAAATGCTGGGACTGTAATGGTAACAACATCACAGTCACTTTTCTCAGAAAGCCATGGACTAATCAAGGAAGCATAGTGACCTTGGATATAATGGGAGCATGGGCCAAGTGCTGGTGGCACACAGAAGAACCAAGTCCAGGAAGGTTTCAGAGAGAATATGATATCCGCGTAGGGTCTTAAAGTCTGTGTGTGAATTTGCCAGTAGAGTAGAGGTGAAATCCAAGTGGAAGGAACAGCATAAGGCAAAACAAAGAATCATAAAAGAGGCTGGTGCGTTCAGGGACTGATGATGCTTCCATATGCCTTGTTATGGGTGGAAAAAAGCAGGAAGTAGGTCAGACTGTGAACAGCCTTGTATGTTGTGCTAAGGAATTTGGACTAAGCTTAGAGAGCCAGCCAAATGAATAATGCCCTTGGCTCAGGGTGTAGCCCTATATTATCTGTCCTTAGCACCTCACTTTCTAACACAACAGAGCAGAGCTGGAGATAAGAGAGAAAAAGACCAATAAACAGGGAGTGGTGGGCGGTGCGGAATGTAGATATCCTTGGAGGTCTTTGGAGGCCAGAGGGGAGGAGCTGGGATCCAGTATTAAGGGACAACTCCAAATACATTTGTGCTTTTATCATGAATGCAGTAAGGCACAGTCCAGAGCCTCAATTAATGAGTCTTCAGTAAGCAAAGCCTCTTTTAACAAAGCTAGCCTTACCTTTTTTCGCCCTGTAATTAGATGTTTAAATTTCTTTTTTTTTTTTTTTTTTTAATTTCAACTTGTATTGAAAGGTGCCAGGGTACATATGCAAGTGTGTTACATGGGTATATTGTCTAATACTGAGGTTTGGCCTTCTGTTCATCCCCTCACCCAAATAATGAACACTGTACCCAATAGGTAGTTTTTCAGGTCTTGTCCCCCTCTCTCCCTCCCTGCTCACGTAGTCCTTAGTGTCTTTGTTTCCATCTTATGTCCATGTGTACCCAGTGTTTAGCTCCAACTTACAAGAAAGAACATTAGGGTGTTTGGTTTTCTGTTTCTGCATTAATTCACTTAGGATAATGATGTCCAGCTGCATCCATGTTGCTGCAGAAGACATGATTTCATCCTTTGATGCAGCAGGAGCCACCAAAGAGTGGGAAGGTGGTGTAGTACTCATTGCTCTAGAGGCAGACCTTGCCTGAGGGTCAGGGTCACACTCCTAGACTACAGGTAGCCATACTTCCTGGAAGTGGGGCAGATATGGTCCAGACTGTAATAGGAAGTCACCTCTGGGCTACCCCAAAAGCAGTACAGAGGTACAGAGGATCTCTTCTTCAGCCAAGATGGCCAGGAGGCCTCAGCCCTCCTCTGGGAGGGTGGCAAGGGGCAGGTTTGTGAGAGGGAGAGGATGCTATTGCTGGATTATTGCCTCTGCTCTTAATCTTTTTTCTTCCTCTGATAACCCACTTTGGGATAAGGATATATTTCCTTCCTTGTTCATTCACAGAGTATTTCTGCTTTTCACAGACTCCCTGAGAAACATTTCCTCAGCCGGTCATGGCCCCCGCTCTTCTCCAGCTGAGCTCAGCAGCTCTAGCCAGCACCTTCTCCGAGAACGCAAATCCTCAGCCCCATCACACTCCAGCCAGCCAACTCTGTTCACGTTTGAACCCACCGTGTCAAACCACGTGCAACCCACCTTGTCCACCAGTGCTCCTCAGGAGTATCTCTACTTGCACCAGTGTATAAGCCGAAGAGCAGAAAATGCAAGGTAGGAGGCTGCCACAGCCATTAGGTGGATTAGTGACTGCTCACAGGGCCTAGTACTTTTCAGTCCTTGCCTTTTTAATTCTAAAGACAAGAAAGAAAAACTGTGTCTCTTTTCAGGTAAACAAACGCATCTATGATGTGTCTATAATTTTTTGCTTCTGTAGCCTTCATATTTTATTGATGTTATCTGTGTTGCTACACAGTGATAACTGGGTTCCAGAGAAACCTCCTATTATCAAAATCATGCTATAATTGGGTTTGATTTGGAGGCAGGGGTGAAGGCATTAGGGGATAGAGTTTCGAAATTGCAAAAAAACCATCAGTTTACTTGTTGGCCTTAAAAGTATAGCTATGAAACCATAACATTGTTGAACAAATCCATACCTCACTTTTGTTCCATCAACTTATACATGAAGAGCTGAGTCCTAAAAAGATAGAGTGAGTTAGCCTAAGTCACTGAGCTAGTTAGTGGCAAAGCTGAAAATAGTACCTGATTCTCCCAAATCACTGACCAGAGATAGACAGTGTGGTATAATGAAAAGGAGTCAGTCAGATATGGGTTCAGATTCAGGTTCTGCCACTTTTTTTGTGATCTTGGGCTAATTATTTAGCCAAATTTACCTTCAATATTCTTATCTTCACAATGGGAATAACTAATTCAAAACTTACTAATGAGTATCAAATAATAAAACATACATAAAATAGTCAGTAGTAGAGAGTAAGTACATTTTACCTGTTCTTCTTATGCCCCTTCCCCTTCTACTACATATATAATTGCCTGGGAGCAGAGACTGTGAGGTCTTAAAATCATTGTTCTAGTGAAAGGCAAAGTACTTAGCAGTAGTGCCTTGCAGAGTTTAACGTGCATGTGAAACACCTAAAACTCTTGTTGAAATGCTTACGCTGATTCAGCAAGCCCAGCCAAGGTCCTGGGATCCTGCCTTTCTGATAAACTCCAGATGATACCAGTGCAGCTTGTCTACAGATGACACTTTAAGTATTAGCTTTATATAGTATTAACAATTACACCACCAACACTCCAGTGATCCTGCTGAAGCATCAGAGAACATGGAAACATCTCTGCTTGAATGAGCAGTTAGGGCCTACTCTCTGCACCCCTGCCTCCTCTGTGAAACCTCTATTAATCTTCCTACCCAGAATTCATTTTTTCTCCGAATCACCACAGCAGTATTTTATTCTCTCTCACACAGTATTTAGAACTTTCTGTCTTGTAGTATGGATTTTTATATTAATATATTACTGTTATTTGAAGACGGGGCCCACAGTAGGTATATAATAAATATTGGAACAAATCCCTGTTGTAGAGGGATAACCTAGTAGAAGAGGTAGAACTTTCTGCAGCTGGGGAGGTCACATTGTTGTAGGCTTTTGACCAAGCTCTGATTTTCTCTGTCGTTGTTTTCACTTGTGTGGATAAGGGAATGAAAGGGCAATGAGCAGGATCTCAGGGAGATTTTTTGGAGAAAATAAGCTCAAATAGTGTTTGTAGAATTCCAAGGGAAGTTGGAGGGTAGGAAGGAAGGTTTCCTAAATCCAGAAAGACTATATATTTTCTAGTAGTAGTGGAGTAGCTTGCATCATGCTAAATGTACTATAATAATTACAAACTCTGGACAAAATATTAAAAAATATTTTGAAGGGCTTAAAGAGCAATAAAAAAAATCAGGCAGAAACTGGAAGAGATCTGACTCTTAAAAGAAATGTAATTCAGTTTACATCACTTTTCCTATGATGTTCCAATAACATATCCAGAATATTCAGTATACAGTGAGAAAATGCTAGACATATGAAGGAACCATATACATTAACTCATAGTTGAGAGAACTTGGTATCTAGAAACAGATCAAAATAAACCCAGGTTTTAGATCCAGCCTACAAAGACTTTAAAATAATTGTGTCAAGTTTTTAATCTATGGGGGGTAATAGATATAACAGATGAAGAGATGGTTGATTTTAGGATGGATATAGAAACTCTGAAAAAGAGTTGGGGAGTTCCAGTTCCACTATGGTGGCAGAAACCAACACAGGCTTTCCTTCCCACTGATTATAACTAAAAACTCTGGACAAAAATCCAAAATGCAATACCCAAAGACTCTGAAAAATAAATAAAAGAAGATAGATTGTAAAGGGGAGAAAAACTTGTAGAGAAGTGACTACATAGAGGTGAACTTTTTGTCTCTCACGGATTTGCCTCCAAGTTGGGCTCCATCACAAAGTAGCACAGTGGAGCAAATGGCTAAAATACCATAAAAACCCCATATTTCTGGATAGTGGAACCAGAAGAGGAGCCCCATTGGGGATGGAAGGAGCAAGTATCCCAGAATGAATAGAGCTGGAGAAGGGATCTTCTTAACTCTGGGAATGAAACTATATGAATCTTAGGATCACCTTGGGCTACAGATGTGTGGGACAGACCCAAAGGAGTGCAATGAAGGCTATATGAACTGAATGAAGATTTGAACTACCATACACGGGAGGAGAGACAGAACTTGCAGTCTGAACCTAATCAGGTTGATTTCCTATAAAAATATCACTTCTCCATGGGATTATAACAGAACCCGGCGTCTACACACCATAATGTTCATAGCATTCAGTATCTATAATCCAAAATGTCTCAGCCTGTCAAAAACCAGAAAAATAGAACCCACTCTCAATGGAAGTCACAGATACCAACCTCAAAATAACCCAGATGTTGTAATTTCCAGACACAGATTTCAAAGTTCCTATTAAAACAACATTCCACGTTATAAAGGAAAACACTTGTTGAAACTAGTGGAATGAAAAAACCCTCTGCCAACCTAGAAGTCTATGTTCTGCAAAATTATCCTTCAGGAATGAAAACAAAATTAAGACATTCTCAGATAAAGGAAAAATAAGAGCATTTGCAAGAGATCTGCTTTTAAAAACTGATAAGAAATTTCCTCAGGCTGAAGCAAGATGGTACTAGAAGGAAACTTGGATTTTCAGGAATGAAGGAAGAGCAATAGAAATAGTAAATACCTGTGTAACTATGAAAGATTATTTTTCCCTTTTAACGTCTTTAAAATATATATAAGTGTTAAAAGCAAAAAGCAAACAATGTCTAGTGAGATTTTTACCTGGTTTTCTTACTCTTTAGAATGAAGAGCTCTCTTTGCCATTTCTTGCCCTGTGAGTGGCCTGGTGAGAAATTTTCCCAGCTTTCATTTATCTGGAAATTTCTTTATTTCACCTTCCGTTTTGCGAGAGATTTTGCTGGGTATAGAATTCCAGAATATCAGTTCTATTTTCTTTCAGCATTTAAAGGATACCATTCTAGTCTTCTGATCTTCATTGTTTCTGATGAGAGATCAGCAGGTTTTATTTTTCTTTCTCATTTGTAAGTGAACGTTCATGCTTTTTTTTTTTTTTTTGGAGACAGGGTCACCCAGGCTGGAGTGCAGTGGTGCAGTCTTGGCTTACTGCAACCTTTGCATCTCAGGTCAAGTGATTCTCCTGCCTCAGCCTCCCAAGTAGTTAGGCCTACAAGGGCATACCACCACACCCAGCTAATTTTTGTATTTGTCATAGAGACAGGGTTTCACTATGTTGGCCAGGCTGGTCTTGAACTCCTGATTTCAGGTGATCCATCTGCCTCAGCCTCCCAAAGTGCTGGGATTACAGGTGTGACTACTGTGCCCAGCCAGCAGTTATTTTAATTTGTATTCTTCTATATGTATTTTCCTTCATCTGAATGATTTTTTCTTTTAAAAACATTTGTAGTAAATATGTAACATAAGTATATCATCTTAACCATTTTTAAGTGCACAATTCAGTAAGGTACATTTATATTGTTATATAATCAATCTCCAGAAATCTTTTCATCTTATAAAACTGACCTTCTAACCATTAAACAACTCCCTATTTCCCCTTTCTTCAGGCCCTGAAAACCACCATTCTACTTTGTCTCCACGAGTCTGACTTCTCTAGATGCCTCATATACGTGGAATCATACTACATTTTTTTTTTTAGCCATTTATCTGTTGGTGGCCACTTAGATTGATTCCATTATTTTGCCTTTTGTGACTAGAGATGCATTAAACATGGGGGTGGAAATATCTCTTCAACATACTGATTTCTTTTCCTTCAGATATATACCCAATAATGGGATTGTTGGATCATAAGGTAGTTCTGTTGTTTTGTTTTGTTTTGTTTTTTTTGAGGAACTTTCATACTGTTTTCCTTAATGACTGTACTAATTTACATTCCCACCAACAGTATAGAAGAATTCCCTTTCTCCCCATCCTCACCAGCATCTGTTATTTTTCTTTTTGAAAATAGCCATCCCAACTAGGGTGAGATGATATCTCATTTTGGTTTTGATTTACATATCCCTGGTGATTTGTGACGGTGAGCTTTTTTTTTTTTTTTTAAATATACATGTTGAGTGTTTTTCTGTCTTTGTTTGAGAGAGATCTTTTTTCAGCTAATTTCCCTTAATTGGGTCATTTGGGGTTTTTTTGCTGTTCAGTTGTTTGAGTTCCTTGTATATTCTGCATATCAGCCTTCCTTCAGATGAATAGCTTGCAAATATTTTCTCCCATTTGGTAGGTTGTCTCTTCACTCTGTTGTTTCCCTTTGCTATGCAGAAGATTTTTAGTTTAATTTAATCCCATTTGTCTGTTTTTTTCCTTTGAGATGGAGTCTTCCTCTGTCTCCCAGGCTGGAGTGCAGTGGTGCAGTCTTGGCTCACTGCAACCTGTGCCTCCCAGAGTCAAGTGATTCTCCTGGTTCAGCCTTTTGAGCATCTGGGACCACAGACATGTGTCACCATACCTGGCCAATTTTTGTATGTTTAATAGAGACAGAGTTTTACTACGTTGGCCAGCTTGGTCTCGAACTCCTGACCTCAAGTAATCCATCCATGTTGACCTCCTAAAGTGCTGGATTACAGATGTGAGCTACCATGCCCAGCCATTTGTCTATTTTTTGACAGCACTTTTGAGGTCTTAGCTGGGCCCT